TATCACAGCTTTACGTGTACTTTGAGGATGACTATTGCAATTGTTATTATTCAATGGTCAGAATTGTTGTCTCAGAGAACCAGACCTGTGACTGTGGTCAATGATAATTCCCATCGAAATTTACTTCAGAGCAATTAATGTTTTTACGAAAAAAAAGTGCACCTGGAAAGTATTGTTGATCCAATAAATACGAGTTTTAACTCAAAATGGTGCTTTTCAGGCCCTGTCACGAGTAGACTAGCATCCGATCTGATTCTGCAAAACCCGAACTCGTCGTAGACTTTTGAGGTCGAAGAGCTAAAACGAACACGGTGGAGCTTGTGGACGAGTCGTGGGCCTACGTTCGGAATACAGCTTCGAGCGCACTGCCAGGAGCAGGGCTTTTCGAACGCTTATATGGTCGCCCGCCCCTCTCACACTCTTCCCCACCCTTTCCCACTCCGACGCTTCCTGCCACTGCGCGCGGCGGACAAGCGACTTTCAGCCTTAAGCATTATTGGATCAGTTTGTGTAAGAAACTCTATATTTTGTAGTTTATATTTAACTTCATATACTCGGATTAAAACAGTAAGTCTTTTGAAGATCACGCGCTGGCGGGAGAAGAGGCCGCTGTGATTGAATCGCGAGCTTCCTTACGACTTAAATTTTTGGTATTGAAGCTCTCGATTGGTCCCCTCCTAACACCCCTTGAAAAGAGTTTATGTTTGAATCAAAGTATAGTTATGTATAATACAAGAGAGCAAGAAAAATTAATGTAAACAAAAGCGAGAGTGTTTCGACGAACTATCTATACATTACGCGTATATTCAAACGAGTGCCAAACCTTTGCGTACGGATGTATGCAAAATGAGAATTAACTTAGGATGAATAACGAGGTTTGTTACGAACAATTCAGGTTTATTTCGTCGTCTCTCTGTACCTCGTCAGGTACCGGATCTATACATTGTTGAAATACATATATATTTAACAATTCATGTAAACTATATCTTACTAGCACAAATACATACAATCGGCTTGATGAGGAGAATCCAAAATGGCTCAAAAGTGAACATGAATATCCGTACATACAAGAGAATAATGCTCTACACAATTGCACACTGAGAACTTTAATTGCCCGCTTAGTGGTTAACAAGTCAATATGGTTTATCCATTGTAGCAGTGTGCAAAGCCGTAGAAGATGTAAAATAAAAATTATTTAAATGTCTGACAGTAGTTTGCAAATTGAAGCAAGTAGGCATCACAGAAATTTATCTCAAACTAAAGAAAACGTAAAAAGAAGCGTTAACCATATTATTTTTAAATTACAACAACAAAACAACGTCGTGTAGGATTGTTTTTAAATGAAGCATCAATACCTTACACTCTTTGACGTTTACGTTAAAGTACTTGAGGAATGTTTAATACTTCCCTTTTATTAAAGATGTATTCAATTTTTTTAAAAAGCCCTGTATGGAATCTCACTTAGTCTGTCTCTGTGTGAACCACCGTGGATAATCAAACATCCAAATTCATAATTTTGATCTCTCGAATTAATATTAAAGTTTTAGCACTTTTTGAAAAAATAACTTGTTTTAAACTCATTAATTTGATGGAAACTATTTTTTTAGTCCCTTGTTTAATTTTAATAAATTTGATGAAACATTTGGATAAAATCTCAATGGTTAAAAATAAATTTCTGCATTGAACGATTGAATTTCTCAATTGATGACCATCTCGCAGGATGAATGCTTATAGACATCCAATTACTATGTTTTCTCGTTTTGGGTATAAAACTAATAACCGTAGTGAAATATTCTGTCTGAAATATCCACATTTACAGCAAAATGATTCAACTGTGTATTGAAAATGATGACTTTTATTCTTTACGTTACTGTTTACAATTACTTGTATTTGTTTTTGACAATGGGGATGACCTCTAGAAAATTAAATTTTAGACCTGAAGAATTGCTTAAGAAGGAAAGGAATATCTTGTAATATATAATAACTCCGTGAAAAACAAAAAACTACAAAAATTTACAATAGTCAATTTCACCAATGGTCAATTATGTTCGATTTCAAAAGGGGAAGCAACTTGAATTGCTGTGATGTCTGCAGATTTTAAAGAAACTACGCGAGCAAGAGGGAGGCACCGATGCACATCCCGAGCTCTGAATTCCCTTCACCTCTTCGGGAGTCGACTGCTCCCTCGCTTGCTCGTTTCCTGAAGGTACGTGCGGTATCAATTGGAATGTGGATGAAGATGAATCAAGTCGGAAGGCACACCCTTCTTTTAGATAAAATGTGTTGTTTGAACGACCGTGACCTGCAAATATGTCTATCAGGGTCCCGGGCTCGGATCGAATATTTGCTCTTCTCAGCAATCCATCTTTAGTATTAATATGTAACATTATTTATCTTGGAAACAAAACAATTATTCCTTAAAATAAGCCAAGTGTGATTCAGTTGTTATCGATCTGCTGTGTACAACACTTGTGTAAATACGTTCATGTTCATTGTCCATCCTTAATTACCAGAGCACGGATGTTGAGGTACTTATTTTACCTAACATAGGCATCTTAATAGTCAAAAGGCATTTATTTTTACTAAAACAGACATCTTAGAGGATCTTATATGGGACTTGCGGAGAACCCTTTGGGGGAAATGTGAAAAACGCCCGTCACTACAAATGGGAGACAAGTGGGAAAACACATGGATATCTGCGGGAAATATGATGGGAGAATGGGAGTGAGCAGGTGTGGAATTTCCATGAAACATGCCGAGAATGTGCTGGAATCATGTGGAAAAACATACGAAGAACGTGTGAGGAATATGTGGGGGAAATGCATAGAAAATGCGAGGGGCAAGTGGAACAGGAGTTAGGTTTCTTTAAGTAGCATTTTCCAATATGAGACCCTCTAGAACCTTTTACACTTTTTGAAGATTTAGCTCTTCTGGTTACTGTAACTAGTGTATGAATGATGAGAATTGGGTAAAAAAATATATAAAATTAAATTGTCGCATCTTTAGGACAGTCGTGAAGGGCCTACAAAGCTTTAACATACAGTTCAGCAGGTGTTTGTCGTTGTGATCCAGTATGAAACTGTATTCCCTTTTAAAATAATGTTTTACAGCGTGCAGACATATTTGCACAGGCGCAGCTACTCCGATTGAAAACTATGAACAATACTGACCGACACGCATTATCATGGGAAATTTCATGAGCCCTTGTAAATTGCTCGCTTAAGCGTGGGGAATTGTCCAGAAGCCACCAACGCTCTTGATATGCGAGTCGCTCGTGCTGCTCACGTGCGTCCCCCCCCCCACGTGTCTGTGCACAGCCCCCTACGTTCACGTGCATCTGCTTCGCGGAATGGCGCTCCCTTGGG